GACTGCTCTGAGCTGTGGCATTCAGAATCTTGTTCTCTGAAATGGCATAATGGTGAAAACAAAGGTTCTGGTTTTGTGCTTGATGCTTTTATTTTATTGGCAAGATGAATCTTAACCATTGGCTTTTCTTATCATCGGGAATGGAACATCGAATGGAGAATGTCCGTCTCTGGATTTTCTTTATAATGCACTATGCCACATATTGGAGTTCTCTGTTTGAAATGGTTTTATTTAGACCACAGCTACACTACCAGTGAGTTTGAAGTGGAGGTGCACTGCTCGGTTCATGCTTCAGGATGACTTTTGCACCTCTAATGTGGACAAAGCATTTTCCGTACCAATCCAAAAGAAATACAGCTGTTGTGTTTCGTAGTTTGGACTGAAACAGATATTGGAATGTAGAGTATTGCAGTGTTGTTGGATTCTAACCCAGAAAGGACTTATTTTGCTAAAAGAACAACAGAGCTTTCTCTTTCTGCTTCATTTCATCTGCAGAAAGCATATGTTCAACCATGCAGGCAACAGTTGGGTTAAAGATGGACTATAGTCCTCGAAACAAAGACAAGCAGGCGAGGGCTGGCCTGATGTGCACAATGTTTTCAGACCTAATCACTTGTTAGGGATGGCTCTGTCAGCTGTCCCTTTATACCAGTGTCATTTTTTCTCCGTCTCCTCCGCTCTTCAAACACATTTTTCTAATGTTTTACACTTCATATAATCTGGCCTGTATGGCCAGCTCACTTTACGGCTGACATAATTGATGTGGGGCTGAAGACATCAGCTACTTTCTGGGGGCAAATTTGGCAGAAAGGGTAACCTCTCAATCACTGGGAGATCACAAGCGCCTTATCCTCCATATCTTCAAGTTCCTGAAAGAGGCAGGCACCCCACCCCCAAAGGCTACTCGAGTCTTCACCCAGTTCAGGAGCTGTCATCAGCAGAATGCCCTCAAAGTGGAGGAGTCATCCGCTGGAAACAGGTCTGTGATAAGGCAAAGAATGGGTGCAGATGGCTTTTCTTAAATAGCGTTTTTGCATTGATAATTTATTTTCCAGCAGTCCTCGGATCTCTTTTCATCCCCCATTAAGTCCCAAACTGTCGGTTTGTATATGAATTTCTGTCCTGCTGAAACATTTGTACCTAAAACATTTGTTTTGATCTTGCTATTCTTAACATGAAATGCAACAAACCGACAAGAAATATCCAAAACAATTATTATCGCTACTGCTTTTCTCTGAGAGGTTTCTCATACAGAACTAGCCCTGTGAAACTGTGCAAGGTAGCAGACAAATTAGACAAGCTCAATAAATCATCCTGTGTTATTAATATTTTTTATAAGGACGAACATGAAAGGCTGATGGTCTTTTTGAAAAGAAACACTCTTCCTTGATATGTGAAACTGTGGTGGACCACACAGAACTGTCCCAAGCTGGAACTTGTCAGCGGAGTTGCATCCCCACTGCTGTGAATATAAAAACTTAGCAGGAGCTATTGATTCCAAGGGGGAAGGTACCTTGATGTTTATGCATTATGTATTATAGAATTAATATAGGGATGTTTTAGCACAGGGATCAGTCAGACATCCTGTCCCATTTCTTGGTCCTTGGGATGTCCAGAGAGGGAATGATCATGATCACTGAAGCCTTCAAGGGCTTTCCAATAGTGCTTGTGTTCGCACTTGATTTTTCCATGCTGGCATGGAGCTGCCAGATGCCAAGCAGAGGGTCTGAGCGGAGAGATTTCTGGTGGGACCTAAAGGTTGGGGCATTTGGTCAGCACAACACGAGCTTCTACATGTGACGGCTATGCAGCGATGAGCCAAAGAACCTCAGGCAGGAGAGCGGATTCCTTGCTCCTTCCTTAGTTCCATATTGTTAGCTGTGTTGCTGGCAGTCGGTCGTGGACAGAATCCGTTGAGCGCTCAGCAAAGCCTGGGAGCCAATGTTGAGTTGAACCCGTGCCAGAGAGGGAAACAGAGGTTGAGAGTTACTGGTGCCAAGCAGCCTGTGTTGTTGGCTTAAACGGCCGTAGAGAAGGAAAAACCAAAGATGTTTGATCAAACTGAGGTACGGGAAGGTGGTCCAGGATTTCATAGAAGGGGAAATTGCTCGGTGACTAATATACAGTATATCACTTGAACCGAGAGGCAGAGCTGCCCAGGACGCCTGTCGCCCACACTGAAGTCCTAACCTAGTGATCCTTTCCTGTGGCAATATTAAAGGCGACTCACCTGCTCTTATTCATCCTTGATTTCTCCTAAGCGTCACACTGTTGGGACCAAGCATGACAAAGATTGTCTGGAGTATAACAATGCCAGGCACTGAAATAGCAGCTCTGTCACTGGTTCAGGAAGTGGCCAGGTGTCTCACCTGGAGAGCAAAGAACTGTCATTCCGCCTGGGGGTCCCACCACAGCTCCATGTGCCCCAAAGGCTTTTGTCTGAAGCTGCATCTGTGATGTTTTAAACTTACAGAGTTCTCCAAAAAACGTTAAACCCCATTCTGTAGAACTGAAATGATCTTGTGGAAGAATTGTTTTATTTGCCAAATGTGGGCCAGAAATGCATGTTACCGTAAAACGGCCAAAGTAAGAATTTCTAAAGTGGAACTTGAAATTGTCAAGCTTGGAAGTCTTGGTCATCAAGGTGCTGTCTTTAGGCCCAGTGGCGTACACACTCGATACAAAGCAGAAGGCCACTCACAAACGCCAAAAGCTGTTTTGGCACCAGAGGCTCACAGCACATTGCTATGCATTGTTTTAAGCTTTCAAATGAAGTAGAAAAGAAGAGGAATTTTGTCTGATTTATGTTTATTATAACTTTGCCACTCTTTTGGAGCGAGTCTAAAGCCTTGATGTAATGAAGAGAAATTAGGGGATGAAAGGTAGCAACTGCAAAGTGGGGGCCGTTATGGGAGGGGAGGTGAATTGCCTCAAGCAACACTTCAGTCTGGAATGAAGCCCTCATTCTTTTGCGCCAAGCTCAAAGGTGCTATCAACATTTGTGTCTGGGACTGTCCTGTCACTGCTGGGCCATGTTTGTGTTTGCTTATCCAGCAAGCCTTTTAGGGGGAGGAAAAATGAGCACGTTTTCTAGTAAAAATATACAGGGGAGTCTGGGAAATCAGTCCTACCTGTCTTCTCTGCCCCAGTGCTGCAGACGGGGTCACAGGGACATTTCTTGTCAGTTTCAGGAAGTGGAGGATAGGAATTGTCATCTGTCTGTAAACAGTGGGACCTCCCAGCAGCCCTTGGCTAACAGAGGACTGAGATAAGGCAGGGCCCCGGCTCTGAAGGCTGTGTGTGTGTGTTTGGGCGACTTGTAGCCAGAGCACCTTGGGACTGGGAGTCAAAAGGCCAAGGGATCACCATGGGGGTAAATGTGAAAGCCTCATTCAGCGCCACGTTAAAAACACGCCACAACAAACAGAAGGTGTTGCCATTAAAGTAATAAAGGGGCATGGACAGAATCTCTCTTGAGGCAATCATGACCATGTTTGTAAAGGCTTAGAACAAAGGTGGGGAGGGTTCAAGATGCTATTAGTTTTTGTTTTTGTTTTTCTTTTTTGACTTTTAAGGCGCTCTTTCTTCACCGTTGTTCTTGTTACGACAGTACGGCTAGTTTTTTTTTCTTTGAACCCTTGACCTTAATAGCTCTTCGTGTTCTTGGGTTCAGCCCAGCCGGGAGAGCCCAGGCTTCAGGCCTCAGGTAACTGCTGGTTTTAAATAGTTTCATGCCGCTCCGCAGCTGGAGAGAAGAGCTGTGTAAAAGCTTTGTACTAAACTGTTGCTTATTAGCTGAGACGTTCTGTCTAATGTGTGAGTGAGACTGAAGAATGCAATATAAATAAAGGAGCTGTGCTGTTGAATTATTTAAATATCTATTGTCTACAGGCTACATTGAAAATTGTGATTTTGTACTTTTTTAATGCAAAAATGACCTCCAGCTTCGGGCCTCGTTGACACAGATCTCCTGGTCTGTCAGGGGGCGTTATTTTGTCACTGTCACATGAATCGCATGGATTTTAATACTCTGCAAGTTGCGGTAAACACGCGTTATCAGAAGTTTTGACATCTGCCTCATATCCTGCAGGTGAAGAAAGGTGGGGGAATCATACTGAAAGTGATCGTGATTGAGCGTTTGAAATCACGCATGTGCTTTGGAAAAGCGTACATCGAAACCTGTCCGCGGAAGAATAAAAACCGACAGCTGGGTTGTCAGAAGTGTATAAAACTATATATTTTGCAGGTAAAAAATGAAGCGCAGAGTTTTGTGTAATCGGCAGAAATGAAACTGCTTCACTTTTGGATCTGACAGAAAGAGACTGCTCTTAACAAGGCATCAGAGTCACTCAGAGTAACAGATCCATCACACAGCCAGCAAAGAGACTGGGGGGAAAACGCGCTGGAGTGGGAGTGACAACGCTGCATTTAATTTGTGTTGCCAAAATCCTTTTCATTTCGCTCTCGCAGGCCCACTGCAGAAACTCAAGTGACTCGAAAGGTTGCTAAACTGTTCAGATTAGCTCTTGTGCAGCCGGCAAGTTCAGTGTGGGACATAGTTAACTCCTTAGAAAACACGAGCATGAGAAACCTTCCTGTTGTATGCTTTGTTGCTTGCCGCCTGCATATCTAACCATTTATGAATGTAAATTGCACGCATCGCTGCGAGCAAAGACATTTACCCCAGCCACATTTATTTAATACTAGCTGAGCCAGGTTTGACCTGTAACCTATTTACCGACTCATCTGCTTAAATGCTTGAGGTGCTGTAGCTGTACTGAGCCTCTGGCCTACTCACGCCTCATTCCTTGCTCTTCACCTTTGCTAACACACACGTACCTATGCATGCACCTGGGAACTCTCTCTCTCTCGCACACGCACCCTTCAGCTCCATTGAATGGTTAATAGCCAAAAAGATCAAGAATAGCGCATTGAGTGCAGCCATGTCCAGGTTCTTGGTAATTGTCACCTTTTTCCCCGGTTCATGGCTCCCATTTCAGACGCAGCTGGCGCTGGCGGAGGCCGAGGATGCAGCGCGGACAATGGAGAGGAGGAGAGAAGTGGCGCAGGTTCTCTTGCCCTTCCTCACTGAGCGACAGGAGCGCAGGCAGCTCTGGAGAGCCAGGTACACCCTTCAGAACAGCACCTACGGCGTTTTCAGAATTCCGATGTCTAATCGTGGTTAGCCAGGTATAAAACATCACACAGTCTTAAACATCACAAACGGAACCCTTTCTTTTTTTTCAGTTCAATATGATTATTAGGATAGTTTCAAGCAGATGCTGAAATAAAAGAAATGTTTATTGAGAATTGCCTTAAGTATTTTAATTATTTTGGTCTTCTGGTTAACTTGGTTAACTTTTTTTATGTTTTTTGGCTCCACTCAGCCCATAGCTATGTACTGTGCTTCTGCTGTGCCCCATTGAGAAAAAGCTCTCTTGGAGACTCTGGGTTTTCAGATGGTGCTTGCTGTCAGAAGGAGCCATATAAAATCACAACATTTGTGGGGGTTATTTAAATCACAAACTGGGTTTGAACAACAGCTGAATTCACAAGTCAAACATGACGGGGCCTTCTAAAGAAACCCAACGCAATTTACACACAACTCATGTTTCACCTTCAAAGTGAACCCAGGAGTGAATGGGCTCACCCTAGCCTCGCCTGGCAGCGATCTTTCTGACAGGTATGCCCTGCAGATAATTCCCAGTCACTTCCTCTCTGCAGATAAAGCCTGTTGGAGTGATGAGAGATTCTAACAGCCCCCATTACCTTGATAATCCAACTTTGACTAAGCTGTGTTGTTCTAAAAGATCAGCCTCCCCTCTACCTCAACACCCACTGCCCTCCCCCCCAACTTCCCTGCATGTTCAACAGTTTCCTAATGTTCTGCCTAGGTAAACAGAAAGACACTAACATTCTAGGAGGCCTGCTTACAAATGGGTTTGACCTTTGTATACTGTGAACAGCTTAATCAGGCTCTGGAGCCAGTCTTGAAGCACATACAGTCTCGTCTTGGACAAAGTATGTTGGTGCTCCTCAGCTGGCTTAGTGGCAGACAAGATGCAGACCCTGGAAACGGTCACAACCACCTGGAGGGCTATTTTCTAGACTCCGAGGTGCTTGAGGCGAAGGTCCCAAGAGCATTAAGCAAACTCCCACCCCCTGCCTACTCCCACCCACCCTCTCCCATCCCCCAGAGGTCTTCGTTTGATGTTGCCCTTCTCAGCGACCCATCAAAACGTCTCATTCCGATGATCCATGCAAGCAGGCGGTTACCATGCGCCTCGGCTGGCCTGCCCTGCCCTCCCGCCGCTGGAGTCAGGTGCCTGCCAGGCCAGTGTCAGTCACGGGTGCCGAAAGCTAGAAACCATCCCGCCGTCGCTGAGGCTCGGCAGCGGAAGGCAGCGGCAGGACCGAGCCGGGAGCTCCCACGTATGAGGACAGGAAATAATTCATCCTTGTCCAGCTCTGAACTTTATTCCCACTAGCTTTCATCAGCAGGAGAAAAATGATGCACCCTGCCCTGCGCGCGCACACACACACACACACACAATGTGTTTCATCTCTGCTTGCTCTTTTGGGTTTAGTTTGAGAAAGCTGCAGGTTGTCTGTGAAGTGGCTGTCAACAGAGAGCCCTGAAAAGGCACAGTGGTCAAGTGAATGATGTTGGCAAGATAAATAACCTTTCTGTCCAACTTCTAGAATACAGTATTGTACTCAAGAACCGGCAAACTGTGGGGAACAATGGGGAAGTTATTAATTCCTGGTAATTATTTGTCTTTATTTATTTTTTGTTCTTTAATACACCAGCACTCTTGCCAATGGTGGCCGAGCACTCAGATTAGTTTATTGGTGCCCAATAGTTTGATTGAAACCCTCTTTTTTTCTTGATACCTGCTCTTTAAAGAGTGGATCACATTTCAGGCAATTTCAGAAACAACCAAAAAAGGAATCCGGGTTTATTTTGTGGCAGTTGTATATGTTTATTCATGTCCAGCAGACATTCTGGGGAAAAAAGTTCTTTTTTTTTCTTTATTTCCCTGTTCTTCTATTGCTAAAAAACGGATTGCCAGTTGAGTATAGAACGTAAATTTCCCATGCCATTCCTCTGTTAGTGATCGATACCTTCTTAATCACAGCCTACTCCCAGTCTCGGGACTCAGTGGGTCTTCACGGCGGTCCTGGTTCTGTCGCCTTCCTCACAATGGGACCTCTTTGGTCTCCTTTTCTAATTGAGCGCTCACCTTACTTTCAAGCCAGCCACAATCTGCGTTTTCAGATTTACGGCCATTCTGGCTGTTCTTGCCCCTGATATAAATCTCAACTCTCCAAACATGTTGCAGTAACATTTGCATCTTGATCCTGGTGATTTAAGACACCGTGACATAGCAGCGCAGTGTGCTGCCATTTTTAAAATTAATACCGGGCAGCCGCCTACCCCTCTCAAGCTCTTGCTCCCCCTGGGATGCCAGCAGGACCCAGCCTCCTTAGGATTTAAATTAATTTAATTCCGTGGCCTAATGAACTGCAGTACCTTTGGAGAAGTCCTGGGAGAAACGTGTAGGGGGTGGGTGGGTTAGGTGTTAAAGGAAAAAGAGCAAACACTGAAGGATGACTTGTTTTCAGGAGGCAATAGCACCTGATGGACAGACTATTAGACCTGCTGAAGAGCTGCCCAGACCCCCTTTTGAAGTGACCCTGCTCTGACCTCCGGGAGACAAAGGGTCATGCCTCAGCCAATAAAATCTGTGCGCTATCACAGCCAGCGAGCAAACACTAAAGGGAACAGCTGTGAATTTTGTACTGGCCGTGCAGACTGCTGTAGGCTTTGTAAGGTCATTATATGATAATGAAAATTATTACCGAATTACATGGGGGTTTAGTACATGAGAGCAGTGGGGAGGGGAGGCAGAGGAAGGCCCAGTGTATTGGGTTTGATAAATGGACTGTGAAGGTGCCCATCTGGCTCTGTGCAGCTTTTCTTTCTTTTTTTTGCCTTTCTCTCCCCCCTTTTTAAAAGGCACGGTCATGCCACACTTAGAGTCAAGGAGCTGTAATGAGCGGCGAGTGAAGATGAACAATTAAAGGGAGAACTTGCTCTGCTGGTGTCACATTAGAAGGAAAAGGAAAAGGACAGCAGCGAGCACGCTGGGTGTGTCCTCTGCTTTGTGGGACCACAGGACGGCCCCTAGCAGGGGATGCAGTAGGACAGCTTGACCTCTGCGTTGGCGCTGGTGTGAGAGCCAGGAAGCAATATAGCCATTTGTGGATTAATAGAGAAAATGATGCTGTTTGAAGTGTTTATTGATTATTGGCCTGTGTTACCATTGAACGTCCTCGTGGCAGAGAGCATGCAGTTGTTTAACTGCGCATAAATAAACATCCCACTTCTTCATTACTGGACCATAAGCTGAGCTACTTTCCCTTCCCTTTCAAACGAACTCTCCACAGATCAGTCCTCCCTTGCGCCCCTGATTGGCCGTTGCTGACCTGTGCCAAACCTAAGTTGGCGTGTCTAAGCCAAGCTGACTCCCCGGTTTGTCGGGGAATCCTTTCTGAGGCAGCGACCGAGACATCTCAATCATGTGGGTGAAAAGCCTTGGGCCTTTCGCCTGCTCAGCGCGAGTGCCTGTTCTGTCAGTTCAGCGAAGGTCATCAGGAGGACATCAGCCGTATCCACATTGGGTCTTGCTCAACTTCAGAGTTCCGTGGTTCACTTATTTTTTTGTTGCACGTGAAGTATACCATCCCAGTGACAGATTTCCACCTCTGGCCCCAGAGCTGAATGAACGCGAAACCACGCTGGGGAGCCCCCCTCCTTGCACGTACATAAGAGTCTCCGAGACCCGGTTTGTTGGAGACTGAACCTCTCTGTTTGTCAGGTTTTCCCTGCGGGAGGTGTCCTCCGCTCTCCCCGTGCGTGGATCAGCATGAGCCGGTGTCTGTGGGTGCCTGCGCGCAGGGCTGGGGCTCCTGGATGAAGACGTCAGCCCTGCAGCTGCGCTCATTGCTCAGCTGCCCGGAACGCCCTTTGACCCTGACCCATTTGGCTGCTGCCAGATTCCTTTTGTTTGCGGCGATGGTTTCCCTCGCCTCCTTTCTTCACCTGTACCGGCTCCCCGTGAATACAGGCTCAGGGACTAATTAAACTGCGGATCCGTGGGGGCCGGACCTCTGGGCAACAGTTGTGCGGGGGCCTGATTGAATGGCGCGGTGCACCCGCCACCAGTTGTCGCCCTTCCCCTCTCCGAGAGCGCCCCCAGGCCTCGGTGCTGCTCCGGCAGAAAGACGTGGCCCTCTCGCCCGCAGTTACGGCACCCTGCCTGCAGGGGGAGATGGCGAACAATGGTGGTCCACGTCCATCCGTAACACACAGCAGACGGGGCCAGGCCTGGCGTGTTCCAGTTTACACACCAGCAGCACGGACGAGGCAGACATCTTGCTCGCTGCCTGGCACAGTCTGACCGTGCTTGGTTTTGTCCTGTATGGTGGCATCATAACTCTCTCGCTTAACTCCCACCTGTGGCATGGAGGTGATCAATTTTCATTTTATTCAGGCAGGCGTCTCTTTACGACTTAGTAGTGGGGGTACTGCGTTCCAAAATGTATATTTTAAACTTTTAAGATGGCATTTTTATGACCTCTATTTCAAAAATTAACATCACTTGACAAACTTGTGTTATAAGCATATCTGTGATCACCTTATGAACTTTTTATCACTTATGTGTTGTAACTTAGCATGTTCCTCTGGAGATTATTGGGTAATAAACTACTCCAGCTGTAATGACTCGTTTGTACTGAACTCGTGTCTGCTGATCATAAAAAAATAAAGTAATAAATCGTCCTGAATTTAAATTATACTGTACAAGAGGCAGCATACAGCTGTATTTCCTAATGTTTATTTTTAGTTTTCACTCAGCGGGACAGAGTAATCTGCCTAATCTCCGAAGCTGGCTAGTTTTACAGTATCATGACACACTGTGTATTTCAGAGAGTCTTTTAATTGCTTTCTTTGGCATTCAGTGGCGCAGTGATTGCTGTTACCATGGCAGGCAATAGCTGAGATGGGCTGTTCTGCCCTGCACTCACACCTGTGTGCCACAGCCTGTCACCTTCTTCAAACTG